TATCAATGGATTAATCCATTAATGAGGTCAGAAATCTTTCAATCTAATCACTTCCCCAAAGTCCCACCTCTGGACATTGCTGGACATCAAGCCTTCAACATATGAGACTTTGGGGATACTCCAGATCCAAACCATAACATGGGGTAAGGTCTGTTTTGAAAAGCTTCCTTTGTTCCCTTGATATGCAACCAGGTATGGGAACAGTGGGCTGGTCACACTTAACTCTGCATGTGAGTTATTAGGTGTTCATGTTAAAATAGAAGTTCTGATTTGGTAGGTTAGACTCGGGAGGGGCCTGGGAGTCTGCATTTCTAACAGATCCCAGAGTGGTGCCAATGCTGCTGATATGGTAACCACCTTTTGATTAGGAGACAGCCAGTTAGTGTAGATTATTACACTATATACTCAAGCCCAGGATGTGGTAAGAGGGTGGTTTAGATTAAGGCACAAACTGAAAGTTTTAGTGAAGTCATTTAAACCTCAGAGATAAAATGTATTTAGTTGTGGAAAGAACATTGGTTTGGGAGTTAGATCTGAATCCAATGGTTCACTGTCTGGATGACCTTAAAAATAATTTGTTTCACCTTATTTAACATTTTCCTGGCAGATTAGAATGAGAAAAAAATATATTTAAAGCAATAAAGTAGAATAGGCATTCAGAAAAGTGGTAACTTTTATCATGTATGCTAGGGAATCCTCTTTTATTGGAAGACCAAAACTGTGAATAATGTGCATGAAAGTTATGGCTAGGAGCCTCTAATCAGTTTTGCATCAGAAACAACTTCTATTCTACAGAGAAGGGAAGGCTATGGTTTTAAGTAGAAATTATTTTGGTCTAAATTCCTTTAGATACTTGTTTTTGTTTATCCCTCATAATGAACTTTTTTTTTTCCCCTTGGGGCATTGGGGATTGAACCCAGGGTGTTCTATCAATGAGCTACATCCCCATCCTTTTTTGGTTTTTATTCTGAGACAGCGTCTCACTATGTTGTTGGCTGACCTTGAAGTTGTAATTTTCTTGCCTCAGCCTCTTGAGTTGCTGAGTTTACAGGTATGCACTACCATACTCCATATGTATACTAACTTTTGCAGTCATCTGAGGTCTTGGCCTAATGAAAAGTGACAAATGGTTTACTGGCTCAAAACAAATATTTGTTGAGCACCCGCTACTCTTTTAAATTTTTTTTTAGTTGAAGATGGATACAATATTGTTATTTATTTATTTTTATGTGGTGCTGAGGATCGAACCCAGTGCCTCATATGTGCAAGGCAGGCGCTCTACCATTGAGCCCCAGCCCCAAGGATCTGCTACTCTTAAGAGTCAAATAATTTTTAACTGTTATTGACACTCTGCATAGAACATATTTCAGATCTTACCTCTTCTGAGTGCTTACTTTCTTTCCTCCTTCAGGAAACCCTCCTTCTGAAGCTTGTCTTAATATTGGGCTAATACTTACTTAGCTCCCTGTGCACCCTGTCATAGCACTTGCCTCAACCAATCTGCAAGCTTTTCTTCTTCCCTTTCTTTCCTGAAAGCTTCTTGAAGGCACGGGGCTCTTTGTTGTCCCATCCTTAGTATAGTGCCTGCATTGAAATTGTTATTGATCTGATTGTGTAACACATGATGCTCTCAAAATGTCTGAAATATGTAAGAGTCAGGAAAGGCTTTCTGGAAAAGGTAATATTTAAGTTGAGACTTAGAAAAAGATAGCAGGTAGGTGCAGGTAGAGCAGCAGGAAAGCATGCCAGGAACCACACATAGTTTGAATGAGCTGAAATGTGGGGGATGCAGAGGGGTAGTGGGTGAAGCTGGAGTACAGGCAAGGGCTAGCTGCATATGACTGACTTAAATGACAGCTAAGAAGATTGGATTTTATCTCGAAGATAATGGGAGTCTTTATGCAGGAATGTTTTGAGGGTGATATTATATACAGCTATTAGAGAGAAATTGGTTAGGAGTTTTATATATAAGCCAATTAATCAGACCCTAGCAGTTACTCTTAATGCCTTTTATGGTCTTACCCCTTTTTCCTCAGACAAGAGTGGTTCACTCCAGAGGTACCTTTGCCTTGTGTGCCTCTGGAAGAGCTGTGGCTGTGCGATGCAAGCAGACCTTGGAGCATTACATAGCTCATCCAGTTCCTGGGGATGGGTGTCTGGTCCTGTTAGGCAGAAGGTGCAGCTTTTATATTTCTGTTCTACAAAGTGAGTTGGATAGCAGGAGACCCTTGGTAAATGCTTGAACAGCATTTACTGGGTTTCAGTACTAAATCTGCAATGTCGAAGCTATGGGGGCATTGGAGAAGTTATATCACCTCTGTGAACCTCATCTGTAAAATGGAGATAATACAGACTGGTGCTTTTTCAAGAATTGAATCAGCAGGGTACAGTGGTTTATGTCTGTAATCCCAGCAGCTCAGGAGACTGAGGCAGGAGGATTGTAAGTTTAAAGCCAACCTCAGTGACTTAGTGAGGCCCTAAGCAACTTAGTGAGACCCTGTCTCAAAATAAAAAAATGAAAGGGCTGGGGATGTAGCTCAGCGGTTAAGCGCCCCTGGGTGAGGAGAGGACACAATTGAATTGGATGATGATGGTGATGATCACAATAATGACCATTTAGTAAGTATCAATTGTGTTTCAGGCCCTGTGCCAGGTATATCATTAATTAAATATATTTGTATAAAACTCCATGGTAGGTAATCAGTAAACATTAGATTACTCCCCAACCTGCTCCTGATCGTTGTACGTCCTACAGTTTGTCAGTCGCTGATAGATTACCTTAGCACTGTTTTCCCAATGATTTTATTCCCACAAATTGACAGAGAGTGAAACTAATGGACAGTTAATTTAAGCCAGGAAGCAGCCAGTGAGTTATTTCCAACATCATTTAATTAAGGAAGTACTTGGGACTTTGAAATCTATGGTACTTTAACCAAATTATAATTTTAAAACAATTAGCCCTTGAACTTAATATTTAGGTTCAGGATCTTGGGCTGCTATAGAAACCAGATGGAGTTGCTGCCTGGACTACGACCTTGTTTACATACTATTTAGATGTTGGCTCTTCTTCTGACCAAATAATCATAATAACCTTCTGAATAAAAGTTCTGTTTAGTGGACAAAATATGAAATATATAAGGTTGAACAAGGGTTTGAAATGAGTTATATTGTCCCTATGTAGAGCTCCACAGGTTTCTTTTTATTTCTTTTCTTCTTCTTTTTTTTTCCCGAGTACTGGGGATTACACATCCTAGACAAGCACTTTTTCACTGAGCCACATCCCCAACTCTTTTTAAATTTTATTATTTTATTTATTTTTCATACAACAATTATTTGTTTTTCTATCATTCTATATGTCTAAACAGGGTGGAATTGGGAGGGATTTTTAGTATAGTCAATGAAGCGAGGACAACATGGGTTTCATCTTGACACATGCTCACAAGAACAGGTGAAAAAAATCAGAGAAGTAGTTAATCACCTACTGGCTCCTAAATCTTAAATGGAATACATGGAGGATATCTGTGGCTTCTCTTTCTCAGTTTCAGCCTTAAATTGATTTATTTTGAAAATGTAATCAGGCATGGTGGTTATTGTTTATCTCTGTAATCTCATTGACTCAAGAGGCTGAGGCAGGAAGATCTCAAGTTTGAGGCCAGCCTCAGCAACTAAGCATCTTACTGAGACCCTGCCTCAAAATAAAAAAAAAAATAAAAGAGGGCTGGGGATGTGGCTCAATGGTAAATTGCCCCTGAATTAAGTCCCCAGTACCCCCCCAAAAAAATAAATAAATAAAAATTAAATGGTAAAGCCATTTACCTATTTCAGAGTTATCTAAGTGAAGTGACTTATGTCACTTCTCACATTTCATTGGCCCAAACAAGTCATGGGGTCATGCCTAACTTCAAAAAGTGGGGAAGGGCAACTATTTGTATGCAGAGAAGGAAGAAGACTTTTTATTCTTGTTATTGCACCATTTCAGTTTGTCCTTTATTGACAGCAGTCGTTTCCATAGCTTGATTAAAGTAGTATCAGCCAGACTTCTCCACTGTAAGATTTTTTTACCCCTTCACATGAATAAATATACTATAGAGAATTACTTTGAAACTATATAAAACTTCCATTCTTCATCAAAATTTTACTAATTAATTAATATCTGAACAGGCTCACAATTTTAGATAGGCTCTCACTAAGTTGCCTAATCTGTCCTTGAACTTGTGATTTTCCAGCCCCAAAGGATATAGGCATGGACCATCACATCTGACCCCTGGCAGATTTCTGATAATATAGGGCCTTAACTTTGTCTGAAGTGAATGAAAATGCCCCTCAGTCTTCAGTAACTATACCCTTCTCACTATATCCTTTTTCTTTTCCCTTCTTTGTGGTGGTTTTAGTTAATCAGATCCTTTTTGACAACATAAAGCGCGGATTAAAACTAACTCTGTAGCAATCCTAGGATTATGGGCTCAGGAGAATAAATCTTGGGTTGACTTTGAGATGATTTCAGTTAAGTTTCATTCTGAAAAAAGCAGCTATGGGAGAGGCAGCTCTGAGCTTGGGTTATTGTTTATCTCTCCTTCCACAGGATCAATTTGTATGAGTATCACAGTCCATTGTGAATATGGTGCATGAGGGATTGTTACTGGAAAGCATAATGGGTTGCTGGCCGCAGTGATTATGCCTGAAAACTGGCTGGAGTCCTGGGTCTAGCCCTGTCAACAGAGCGAAATTCAAGGAGAGGAGGAATGACAATAATTTAAACACTCATCTCTTTTTCTATCTCTCCAATGCCATTTAAGTCACAGGGTAGCTTATCCCTAGAGATTAGCATAAAATTAGAGGGTATGGCCTGTACAAGCTTCCTTCTCTCTTTCCTTAAAATCTCCTTCTTCTGGATATAGATTGTCCACCATACTACGACCTCTCATGTGGCCTTAGAGGTGCAGGATAGGGGATAAGACTAATATGCTACCTTTCCCTCATTTCCACTTTTTATTTTCCAGCAACAGCTCCAGGCCTATGTGGCCTGGGTGAATGTACAGCTGAAGAAGAGGCCATCAGTGAGGCCTGTGCAGGACCTGCGACAGGATCTCCGCGATGGGGTGATCCTGGCATATCTCATCGAAATTGTTGGTCAGTTGGCCCTGGACTCTGATGTTACCATAGACTTTTATCCTTCATATGCCCTTTGACACAGGTTGATTCTTTAGAATATATAGCAGTGGAAGTGGAGAAAAAAATACTTGCCAAACTTTTTTTTTCTTTTTAAAAATTTTTTCATTTGTCCTTTTTAGTTATACAAGATACTTGGCAAAACTTAAATCATTTCTTCATTGGTCAATACTGTGTACTAGGCACTGTTTCTAAGTTTGGGAACATAATGAATGCAGTCGGTGTTCTCAGGAGTCTCTCAATCTAATTGGAAAGTCTGGAAAGTGAAGTCAGTTCCATTAATGTGCTTGGTGCTTTGATGGGATGAACACAGAAAGGAGTGCATAGAAGGGACACCCTTCCCAGTCTGAGGGGTTCAGGGATGGCTGACCAGAAGAATTCATGTCTAAACTGAAGCCTGCCAAAAGAATTGACGTCTGCTGGGTGTTGTGGTGCATGCCTATAATCTCAGCAGCTTGGGTTCAAAGCCAGCCTCAGCAACTTAGCAAGACCTTGTCTCAAAATAAAAAATAAGTAGGGCTGGTGATGTGGCTAAAGCTCAATGATTAAGTACCCCTAGGTTCAATTTCTAGTGTGTATAAATAGATACATAGATAGATAGATGTTTAAATGGACGCCTTCCAGAAGAACTGATGTCTAAACCAAGACCAGAAAAGGAAGTAGTAGCCAGGCAAAATGAGGATGTTACCAGCAAAACACTCCTTTCTAATACTCACTACATAAAAGGGTTTTTGCTCTTGAAACCCTGGCACCATTTTTACTAGATGTTACTGTAATTTTATGTTCATAGCTCTGCAGTTGTTTTTACTTTTATGTGGTGTTGGGGATCGAGCCCATTGCCTCACTCATGCTAGACAAGCACTCTACCATTAAGCCACAATCCCGGCCCTGCAATTGTTTTTCTTACCAAATGGTAATTACTTGTGGTAATTGTTTATTTATCTACCTTTCTTCTGTAAAGACTGAACTCTTTAAGAGAATGCACAGTATCATTTTTTTTTTCTATCTCCACAACCTCTAACCATGGGGACCTAGTAGGTACTCAAACATTTATTGTTGTATTAGTCAATGGACCATGCTTAGAGTCCTTGAGGGCTGTAGGGCTTACGAGTGGTATGGAAGAAGCAAAGTTTGCAACAGGCATTACCTTGTTGGGACAGCTGGTGAATTCATCAGAGCATTTATTTGTAATGATAATAACAACGTCAATACTAGTAGCAGCTGCCAGGATTAATCTCTTTCTATCTTGTTTAATTTCTTGTGCTGGGGCTCTAACCCTGAGCCTCTCACATGCTAGAAGTACTCTTCCACTCAGCTACATCCTCAGCCCTTGAACCCTACTTTCCACTGTGACTTTGCTATATAGAAATAACCTCAAGTTATCTCCCTAAATTCGTATGGTTAGCCACTAACTTTCCCTTGAGTTGAAGATATGAATATTCAGCTTCTTATTCAGCATCTCTACTTGGTGTCTAGTGTGCAGCTCTAACATCACATGTCTTAATCAGAATTTTGATTTTCTCCTTTCACTGATCCCTTTCCAAGTTTTTTCATCTAAGGAATATATTACATTGCCATTCAACCAGTCATTAAAGCAGAACACTTAGAAATCATTCTTAATTCTTTCTCTTGTGGCTTAAACCTAATCATTTACATGTAGTTTCTGCTTTATATTTATAATATACTTAATATATGACTTCTTACCATCTCTTCCTCTCCCCAAACCATCATTATCTGTCATGAATATTTTCATTATTTTCCTAACTAATCTCCCTTTATCTTCTTCGCCTAATCCATATACACAAACTCAAATTGGAAAAACATAAACCAGATGACCATTAGTCCTTTATTTTAAACTCTCCATTGGTTTTGCCAGGTAATGTGGTGCATGCCTATAATACCAGTAACTCAGGAGGCTGAGGCAGGAGGGTTGCAAGGTTGAGGGCAGCAATAGCAGCTTAGTGAGGCCCTAAGCAATTTAATGGGAGCCTGTCTCAAAAAATAAAAGCACTGGGGATGTAGCTCAGTGGTAAAGCTCTCCTGGGTTGTAAATAAATGAAATAAAATAAATTCTCCATTGGCTTCTCATTACACTTAGAATAAAATTTTAGGCTCTCTGCTGTGGTCCACAAAGCCCTACAGGACCTGGCCTTGCTACCTCTCTGGCCTCTCCCAGGACTCTGTGCTTACTCCACTCCAGCTACACTGGTCTTGCTCCTATGCCTCAGATATGCTGAGCTCCAATCCTACCTGTGGTTTCTTAATTTGGAATGCTTCCTCTTCAAATCTTAACATCTTAATATTTTTAAGTCTTAACATCATTTATTCAGTCTCTGCACAAATGTATTATCAGAGAGGCCATGATCACACTTCTGTATTTTTCCTCATAGCATGTATCATTCATTATCTGAAATTATATTAAGCATTTATGTGTAATCTGCCATCCCTAGAGATGGAAACTCCCCAAGGAAAGGTTACCTTGTTCACTGCTCTCTGTGATGCCATGAACAGTGCTTGGCACACAGCAGGTGCTTACTTAATATTTTTTTGAATGAATAAATGTATATGTACTACCTTCATAGGTCCATGGGTTTAGATATAAAAATTTGTTTTTTTTTTTTTTTAATTTTTTATTGTTGGCTGTTCAAAACATTACATAGTTCTTGATATATCATATTTCACAATTTGATTCAAGTGGGTTATGAGCTCCCAATTTTACCCCATATACAGATTGCAGAACCACATCAGTTACACATCCATTGATTTACATATTGCCATACTAGTGTCTGTTGTATTCTGCTGCCTTTCCTATCCTCTACTATCACCCCTCCCCTCCCC